CCGATGCGGCCGGTGGCCGGCGCTGCTCGGTGGGCCAGATGGCAGGAGCCAGGTACTTATCCTGGTCTCCCATGGGGTGCAGGGCCCAAACACTTGGGCCATCCTCCACTGCACTCCCTGGCCACAGCAGAGAGCTGGCCTGGAAGAGGGGCAATTGGGACAGAATCCGGCGCCCCGACCAGGACTAGAACCCGGTGTGCCGGTGCCGCAAGGCGGAGGATTAGCCTAGTGAGCCGCGGCGCCGGCCTAAGTTGCAAATTTTAAAAACTTGGCTTTTAATACCAGTTCTGCTGTACATTGGTCTGTGTATTGCCCTCACTAACCGTATACTCTGATGATAAATAGAGGAAATTACCCACCTGCTTCCTAGTCTAAAATGCTATCATTGGAAACATTTTCTGAAAGTAGATTCTCATCCAGCGTAAGGAGTGCTTTACTAAAAGACAGTTGTTTTGTTGTTCTAAGTACCTTAAAGTGGTGATCATTTTCCTCAATCAGGTGTAGCAAAAGTTGAGCTGTAAGATTTAACCCATTATATCTTTTTTTATGCTAGTCAGGTCTCTTACCAGCATCATGCCCCTTTGCATAAAAATCGCATTGAATTTAAATACTGCACTGTCGGCTTTGGTTAGAATTCTCTTACCTGTTATCTTTGCTACCTGATTTTCCTCAAAAGGCAGGAGAAGAAATACAGAGAAATATAATTATCTGATAAACAAGTGGTTTTTTGTGGCCTCCTCATTTTTTCCTGCTGGGAAAACTAGAACCCACAGAGGCAAAGTAAACATACAACCATAAAGTGCGAGTTTTGTCCCCACAGAGTGATAGAAGTGGGATTTTTTTCTCCTGCTGTCAGGTAGACGATTTCTCCAAAATGTGCGTGGTGTCTGAGTCTTCTGTGTGTGAATCTCACTGCTCTTTGGGTTTGCTAGAGATGGAGAGCCTAGTGCTGGGGACCGGAGACAAAGAAAAGAGGCTGTTTGAAAGGGCTGGCTTCAAAGATGAGAATGGAAATGTAGGGTCCAAAGAAAGCAGGGGTGATTCCTTTGACACTTGTGTGTTGTTCCTTGTTCTCCAGAGAAACAGCCAGTTGGGTGTCTGGCTGTATAGGTGGATCTGTGTATGTCTGAGTATGTTCCAGTAGAAAGAGAAGGAGGCCGGCGCCACGGCTCACTAGGCTAATCCTCCGCCTTGCGGCGCCGGCACCCCGGGTTCTAGTCCCGGTCCGGGCGCCAGATTCTGTCCCGGTTCCCCCTCTTCCAGGCCAGCTCTCTGCTGTGGCCAGGGAGTGCAGTGGAGGATGGCCCAAGTGCTTGGGCCCTGCACCCCATGGGAGACCAGGAGAAGCACCTGGCTCCTGCCATCGGGTCAGCGCAGTGCGCCAGCCGCAGCGCGCCAGCCACGGTGGCCATTGGAGGGTGAACCAACGGCAAAGGAAGACCTTTCTCTTTGTCTCTCTCTCTCACTGTCCACTCTGCCTGTCAAAAAAAAAAAAAAAAGAATCTGTAGGGCAGGCCAGCAGCTTGAAGATTTGGTAGACTTAATGTTGCATTCTGGAGTGTCTTTTTACTTTATTGGAGAAGTTGAATTTAAGGTCTCTTTAGGGTTTGTTTCCCCTCAAAGTGGAATAAAAAAGGTAGATGTACTTCACAGCAATTGCATGAGTGCTAGTGATCATGTTTCAAAGCCACTAAGGGGGTTGAGATTAAAGCAGCTCTGTGAGTAATCATTTTCTAAAAGCAGAGTTTTTCTAGTTCAGTTCAGGGACAGCCTGTGCTTGGCCCTGGGCACAGGGTAGGGCATAAGCCCCGCCATGTGGGCACCGTCCGCTAGTTGTTTACCTGTGTGAGGACTGTGGTGGGAGCACTGTTCTTGAAGAAGATGAGTCAGTGGAAGATCAGCTGAAGCTAAGGAGGAGAGTGATGTTTCAAGTTGGCCTTAGAAAAGTACGCCAGAGGTTAAACAGAGGGATTGGAAGGGGGATTGATGAGAGGAAGTGGTGGGGACAAGGCCAAGGTGGTGGGAAAGCACATGGGGTTGTCAGGGCTGAGCTGAGTGATTCTGTGTAGCTGGATAAAAGAAAACACGGGCTCAAACGCCTCGGGGACAGCTTTTCTAAGACTAAGGCCCCGGTTACTCCTACAGTCCGTCACACAGCTTCCACTACCGGTCTCTTCCCTGTTAGTGCTGATACTTCTCTATGCGGGGCAGACAGGGCACAAGCATGACAAAAAAACTGTCGGCATTTCTTCATTCGACATCTCCTGAGGCCTGGATACAGTTCTACAAGGGGTCTTCACAAAATTCTTGGGAAGTGCACATTAAAAAAATTATGCAAGGATTCCAAAATGTTTGTACCAAAATCTTTTTTTAAGGTTTATTTATATGAAAGTCACAGTTACAGCAAAAGAGGGACAGAGAGAGAGAGAGAGAACTTCCACTTCCACTTACTGGTTCACTCACCAGAAGGCTGCAACAGCCAAGGCTGAGCCAGGCCAAAACCAGGAGCTTCTTCCAAATCTCCCACATGGGTGCAGGGATCCAAACACTTGGACCATCTTCTGCTTTTTCTAGGCCATTAGCAGGGAGCTGAATCGAAAATGGAGTGGCTGGAATACGAATGTGCATCCATATAGGATGCCAGCATCGCAAGTGACAGCCTTACCTGCTATGCCACAACACTGGCCCCTGAATTCATCTTTTAATCCCATTTTCCACAAACTTTTTGAAGAGTGTTTGTATGTGAGATGCTGTGAATCAAGAATTAAATGGGCCACAGACCCTGATATACTCAGGGCCTCTAGGAATGCCCTGGGAAGCTCAGGACATACTGTATCTTGACTAAGTGTTATCTTTGAAGACAGCTCAGGCTGAAGGATGGAGAGGGGGGTCTCTGGGAGGAATAAGAACACACAGGTGCAGTCCAGGTAGGGCAGCATGGAGAGATGAC